TGTGTCCAATCTCTGGAACATCCTGTCTTTGTCCACCTTGTCAATTCCTCTCAGTATTTTGTATGTCGTTATCATGTCCCCCCTATCTCTCCTGTCCTCCAGTGTTGTCAGGTTGATTTCCCTTAACCTCTCCTCGTAGGACATACCTCTTAGCTCTGGGACTAGTCTTGTTGCAAACCTTTGCACTTTCTCTAGTTTCTTTACGTGCTTGGCTAGGTGTGGGTTCCAAACTGGTGCCGCATACTCCAATATGGGTCTAACGTACACGGTGTACAGGGTCCTGAATGATTCCTTATTAAGATGTCGGAATGCTGTTCTGAGGTTTGCTAGGCGCCCATATGCTGCAGCAGCTATTTGGTTGATGTGCGCTTCAGGAGATGTGCCTGGTGTTATACTCACCCCAAGATCTTTTTCCTTGAGTGAGGTTTGTAGTCTCTGGCCCCCTAGACTGTACTCCGTCTGCGGTCTTCTTTGCCCTTCCCCAATCTTCATGACTTTGCACTTGGTGGGATTGAACTCCAGGAGCCAATTGCTGGACCAGGTCTGCAGCCTGTCCAGATCCCTTTGTAGTTCTGCCTGGTCTTCGATCGAGTGAATTCTTCTCATCAACTTCACGTCATCTGCAAACAGGGACACCTCAGAGTCTGTTCCTTCCGTCATGTCGTTCACAAATACCAGAAACAGCACTGGTCCTAGGACTGACCCCTGTGGGACCCCGCTGGTCACAGGTGCCCACTCTGACACCTCGCCACGTACCATGACTCGCTGCTGTCTTCCTGACAAGTATTCCCTGATCCATTGTAGTGCCTTCCCTGTTATCCCTGCTTGGTCCTCCAGTTTTTGCACCAATCTCTTGTGTGGAACTGTGTCAAACGCCTTCTTGCAGTCCAAGAAAATGCAATCCACCCACCCCTCTCTCTCTTGTCTTACTACTGTCACCATGTCATAGAACTCCAGTAGGTTTGTGACACAGGATTTCCCGTCCCTGAAACCATGTTGGCTGCTGTTGATGAGATCGTTCCTTTCTAGGTGTTCCACCACTCTTCTCCTGATAATCTTCTCCATGATTTTGCATACTGTACATGTCAGTGACACTGGTCTGTAGTTCAATGCTTCATATCTGTGTGTGTGTGTTCGTGTTTGTGTGTGTGTGTGTGTGTGTGTGTGTGTGTGTGTGTGTGTGTGTGTGTGTGTGTGTGTGAATATACTTGCGAGTTGAAGATTGAGACACTTATGCAGCATATGGGAATCTTTATTCAGGAAACGTTTCGCCACAGTGGCTTCATCAGTCCAATACAAAGAATAAGGCGTAAGGAGAGGAGGAGTATGAGGTAATCAGTCCCTCAGCCTGGAGTCGATGTGTTCAGTCCATCAATCTTGTAGAATGTACAGCATAGGGCCGTAGACGTGGCTTATATACTGTAGTGAGGTGAGGTGAAGCAGGCGGAGGCGGGGTCATAGTGGTACCATCCACTAGTCGAAGTAGGTCTTCGTCCAAAAGTTGAACAAGTGTTGAAGAATTCTTTGTAACAAGATCCCATGATGCTGCAGTGTCTGACAGTTGTGATGAATGGTTTGAAAAACCGACAAGTTGAAGATTGAGACACTTATGCAGCATATGGGAATCTTTATTCAGGAAACGTTTCGCCACACAGTGGCTTCATCAGTCCAATACAAAGAATAAGGCGTAAGGAGAGGAGGAGTATGAGGTAATCAGTCCCTCAGCCTGGACTAGTGGATGGTACCACTATGACCCCGCCTCCTCCTGCTTCACATCACCTCACTACAGTATATAAGCCACGTCTACGGCCCTATGCTGTACATTCTACAAGATTGATGGACTGAACACATCGACTCCAGGCTGAGGGACTGATTACCTCATACTCCTCCTCTCCTTACGCCTTATTCTTTGTATTGGACTGATGAAGCCACTGTGTGGCGAAACGTTTCCTGAATAAAGATTCCCATATGCTGCATAAGTGTCTCAATCTTCAACTTGTGGGTTTTTCAAACCATCACGTACTTGCGAGTAAATATATTGATAAGATAATGTTCAAAATTTCATTTATTCCATATGATCAAAATTCCTGCCCCTTCTATCATGTTGCCCCAACGATACTGTGCCTACAGTGTTACACTAAACTGTTGTGGTAAGCGCTTGGCATCACCACTCTCAATACCTTCAAAAATACCTTAAGGATATGTAATATACTAAATTAAACAGATGTATAACAAAAGTTATACATATAACCAGTAATCAAATGAATAACCGATCGATTATAGAATATATAATAAGATATAATGTATATTTACACCCAGTAATCAAATGAATAACCGATCGATTATAGAATATGTAATAAGATATAACGTATATTAACACATTCCCCTGAGCAAGAAGCGTAACAATAAAGATGAATAATAAAGATGTGTGTTGTTAGTAATGAAAACATGTGAAGATAAAGTTATTAAAGAAATACTATACGGATATTAGTTTTATTTATACCTTTATTTATTTAGTTATGATTATAATAATCATTTCTTTATTACACCCTTGATGACCCTTAAAAAAAAAGGGCTCTTGATCATAAAAAAAGTTGAGCTGCTCTCCACTTCCTGGGATCAAACACTGATTTTTTTCTCCATTTTCCTAGCGGGGCTGGGTGAGCCCCTACGGGTTTATCGCTTCCCACGAATACAACGAATGTCTTACAAAAACAGTAATTGTTCTTGACAAAAAATACAACAGTTGTGTAACAAATACATCCTTTCTCGAACAAATACATTAGGTATATAACAAATACACAATTTACTTAATATATTTTTGTCTAACAGTGCAATTATCTAACAAAACAGCCGTTATCTAGGAAATAATAGAGCAATTATCTAACTAACACAGCAGTTTTCTAACAATAAAGTAGTTATCTAACAAATAATTGAGCAGTTATCTAAAATAATTGAGCAGTTATCTAACAAATAGTAAGTAGTTATCTAACAAATAACAGAGCAGTTATCTAACAAATAATAAAGTTATCTAACAAATAAAGCAGTTATCTAACAATAAAGCAGTTATCTAATAAAGCATTTATCTAACAAATAGTAGTTATCTAACAAATAAAGCAGTTATCTAACAAATAATAAAGCAGTTATCTAACAAATAATAAAGCAGTTATCTAACAAATAATAAAGCAGTTATCTAACAAATAAAGCAGTTATCTAACAAATAAAGCAGTTATCTAACAAATAAAGCAGTTATCTAACAAATAAAGCAGTTATCTAACAAATAAAGCAGTTATCTAACAAATAAAGCAGTTATCTAACAAAGTTATCTAACAAATAAAGCAGTTATCTAACAAATAAAGCAGTTATCTAACAAATAAAGCAGTTATCTAACAAATAAAGCAGTTATCTAACAAATAAAGCAGTTATCTAACAAAGTTATCTAACAAATAAAGCAGTTATCTAACAAATAATAAAGCAGTTATCTAACAAATAAAGCAGTTATCTAACAAATAAAGCAGTTATCTAACAAATAAAGCAGTTATCTAACAAAGTTATCTAACAAATAAAGCAGTTATCTAACAATAAATCAGTTATCTAACAAATAAAGCAGTTATCTAACAAATAAAGCAGTTATCTAACAAATAAAGTTATCTAACAAAGTTATCTAACAAATAAAGCAGTTATCTAACAAATAAAGCAGTTATCTAACAAATAAAGCAGTTATCTAACAAATAAAGCAGTTATCTAACAAATAAAGCAGTTATCTAACAAATAACAGAGCAGTTATCTAACAAATAAAGCAGTTATCTAACAAAGTTATCTAACAAATAAAGCAGTTATCTAACAAATAAAGCAGTTATCTAACAAATAAAGCAGTTATCTAACAAATAAAGCAGTTATCGAACAAATAACAGAGCAGTTATCTAACAAATAATAAAGCAGTTATCTAACAAATAGTAGAGTAGTTATCTAACAAATAATAAAGCAGTTATCTAACAAATAGTAGTTATCTAACAAATAATAAAGCAGTTATCTAACAAATAGTAGAGTAGTTATCTAACAAATAATAAAGCAGTTATCTAACAAATAGTAGTTATCTAACAAATAATAAAGCAGTTATCTAACAAATAGTAGAGTAGTTATCTAACATAATAAAGCAGTTATCTAACAAACAGCAGTGTTATCTAGCAAACAGAGCAGTTATCTAACAAATAGAGCAATTATATAAATGAAGCATTTATCTAACAAATGGAGCAATTATCTAGCAAATAGAGCACATTATCTAACAATCTATCAACAAATAAAACAAGTTATCTAATAAACAGCAGTTTGCTGACAAATTATTTAACAAACATAGCAGTTATCTAACAAATAGTGCAAGTTATCTAACAGAGCAGCTATCAAGCTACTAGGAATGTACACAGTTTGCCTCTGGAAATCTACGAGGAGATAGCTGTCACTGATCCTCAGATTTAATTCAAGTTAGCTTCTCGTAGCTCTGAAATAAGCCTAGCTACGTGCGTCTCTACATTTTACACTTTCCTGGCAAATAATAATAACCATAATTTTTAAAGGGGTGGAGGGGTAAGCCAGTGGAATGCCTCGGTCAGATGACCAAAAGCTCCGGCTGTGGATCATCATATGACTAAGACCCGCGTCAGGAAACACTTATCCTGTTTCCTGACAAGCCTTACCTAACCTGTCATGCTTTTTCAGGTGTGGGTTCCATGCTTATGTTGCATATTGCAACACAGGCATGACATAAATTGCATAAAAGGCCCAGATAACATCAGTTTAACTTAGATTTTTTTACTGGCAAAAAAAAAAATCAGGGTTATTTACGGCTAGGCTTGAGAGGTATTTTTTGAAGCTGTACTATATTAGGCACACGATAGACATCTATTTCTGTCCATGATGATATGAGCACAGGTGTTGGGGAAGTAGAAACACCTGTGTTATAGGTGATATACACTCACTCTTGACACTTGCTACCGAGTACTTCCAGTAGCAGCCTCGGGAGAGTATTGCCAGACTCTCGCAGCAACAACCTGCTTGATTATCATCCACCGATCTAAGGGTATGAAAACTGGAGTATACCCGGCCACAGCAGTACCACTGTCTCTGTCACAGTAGGACCACTGTCTGTCACAGTAGGACCACTGTCTCATTGTAGTACCATTGTGTCTGTCACAGTAGGACCACTGTCTCTGTCACAGTAGTACCACTGTCACAACCACAACAGTACCACTGTCACAGCCACAACAGTACCACTGTCACAGCCACAACAGTACCACTGTCACAGCCACAACAGTACCACTGTCACAGCCACAACAGTACCACTGTCACAGCCACAACAGTACCACTGTCACAGCCACAACAGTACCACTGTCACAGCCACAACAGTACCACTGTCACAGCCACAACAGTACCACTGTCACAGCCACGAAGATGTAAGGTTTTATCACGTAACTGATCCAGTGAACATTACTTGTTGTTAAACAAGAGACTCAGGCTTTCATATTCTCGGTTCTAGGCTTTACTCATTTACTTTATGTGAACCACTAAACCTGTGTGAGTCTTGGAGGCTCGATCCTCCGTCTAAATGAGTTTACCGTTTCGTATTTTCCTGTAGGACTCTTTGTATCCTCCTGTAGGAGTCTTTTTATCCTCATGTAGGAGTGTATGTATTCTCCTGTAGGAGCCTTTGTATATATCTTCCTGTAGGAGTCTTTGTATGTATCTTCTTGTAGGAATCTTTGTATCCTCCTGTAGGAGTCTCTATGGATCCTCCTGTAGGAGTCTTTGTATGTATCCTCCTGGAGTTTACCTGGAGAGAGTTTCGGGGGTCAACGCCCCCGCGGCCCGGTCTGTGACCAGGCCTCCTGGTGGATCAGCGCCTGATCAACCAGGCTGTTGCTGCTGGCTGCACGCAAACCAACGTACGATCCACCTTTAAGAGTCTTTGTATGTACCCTACTGTAGGAGTCTTTGTATGTATCCTGTAGGAGTCTTTGTATGTATCCTCCTGTAGGAGTCTTTGCATGTATCCACCTTTAAGAGTCTTTGTATGTATCCTACTGTAGGAGTCTTTGTATGTATCCTGTAGGAGTCTTTGTATCTTCCTGTAGGAGTCTTTGTATGTATCTTCCTGTAGAAGTCTTTGTATCCTCCTGTAGGAGTCTTTGTATGTATCCTCCTGTAGGAATTTTTGACCGTGGGTATCTATGTATCCTGTAGGAATTTTTTATTCTTCCTGCCTGGGTTCTGGATACTCTTATACACATTCTCACAAAGCCGCGTGATAAGCTATTTTACTGTAATTCTGGATGCTCCAGAATTTTGGACGGTCCACCTGGCCTTTTCTTACAATTTATCAAGGAAATTCTGATATTTTTCCCCCTTGTTGTATACTGATTGTTCTATAGCTGAGGTGTCACACAGGGACACACCGAGACGTGCACATCTCTCCGTATATTTACTCTGATAGTTTGTGGTTTATAAAAACGACAAGTTGAAGAATGAGACACTTGTGCAATGTTTGGGAATCTTTATTAAGGAAGCGTTTCGCCAGCCAGTGGCTTCTTCAGTCCAGTACAAAGAAGAGCAGTGGAAGATGAGGAGGAGAATAAGGTAGTCAGTCCAAGGTGAGGTACTGATAACCTCAAACTCCTCATCTTCACCGTTCTTCTCTGGAGTTTACCTGGAGAGAGTTGTATTGGACTGAAGAAGCCATTGGCTGGCGAAACTTTTATGTAGATTTAACAGAAGATTTTAACAATGATAACAGTTAAGTGAGACTGGTGACGCAAATTTAACAGTGGCGATACTTTAATTAGACACTGAAGCATGTATGATTTCTTTGCTGTCGTGCCATTACGATTTCGTTAGTCATGAAGCATGTATTCTTGCAAGACACATAAATTACTTATCTCTGTGTATCCGAGCCAGGCTTTGCAAGTGGGATCTTCTCTTCTAGTAATGATGATGATGATGATGATGATGATGATAATGATGATAGTGTTACCAGCATCGGCCATCAGCATCCCAGGGCACCGCAAGGAGGTCCTCGACTCGCTCAGGTAATTTTGAAGTCTATTCACTGCGGTACTGTTATAAATACTGGTAGATACCGAGTCAATAGCAACAACACAGCAGTAGTAGTTACAGTGACGGTATTAACAGGAGTAACGTTAGCAGCATCAACAGTAGCACCTATAACTTGACTAGCAGCAACAGTAGAAATGCCACAAATGAATGACTCAATAGCGTCATCAGTAACAACAGTAGTAGCACTAACAACAGCAGTAGCAACTGCAACAGCGCTAATAACTGTAATAAAAACAGTGGTAGCACTAGTAACAGTTGTAGCAATAGTAAGGGCACCAGTGTTTGCGAGTATGTGTGTGAGTGTGGATGTGTTTATTTGCTAACTGAGTGTGCTGACTGTGAGTGGTGTATACATTCTAGGAGACAGCTGGGGAAGCACTACTACCCGACGAAGGCACAGCAGGGAAGCCACGACCTAGCAGACAACCTGTGTGTGGTTCATTCTATCCTCGCTCTGGTCTCCACACAATCCTGGAGCAACACCAGTGAGTACCCAACAGCCCCCACCGCTTGTTCTGATTTCTCCTTACCTTGGGTAAAAGGACACATGGACTACTAATGTGACATTTTATTGTGGCAACATTTCGCTCCTGGAGAGCGAAACATTGACACAATAAAATGCCGCATTAATTGCACTTGCGTACTTTTACCAAACATATCGTCGGTAATTCTACCAACATTATTACAGTTATGATTGAACTTGTCTCCCATATTATACCCACGCTCACACACTCATGGAGTAACACACACACACACACACACACACAGAAGCGGGGCCAGGAGCTATGACTCGACCCCTGCAACCACAACTAGGTGAATACAACTAGGTGAGTACAACTAGGTGAGTACAACTAGGTGAGTACACACGTATCTCCTGCTCCCTGGCTAGTATTATTATACTATCTGAATATTTAAGAATGCAATATATGTACTCCTATAAATCAATATCTTTCTACAAAAAAAAAAATCAATTTTCTCAGATGCATTAATTTTCACAATATATTACTCACGTCACTTTGTTTTGCCATAACAGTGATATGATTACTTTCTGTCCGTATTTTGTTTCTAATGATATTTGACGGTTCATCAGACGGAGGATCGAGCCTCTACCAGTCCTTCCACTGACCCATACTATTTTAAATGATTCACATTAAAGCCACAAGTTGGAGACATAGTTACACGATGTTTCGGTCTGCCCTGAACCATTATCAGGTACAGGTGTATATGTTCTCTGGTTCCATTTATGGTTTTTGTGGTTCATTGTCAACTTTCCAGCACCACATTGTAACTCATTATTCTACAGTCTAAAGTAAATAAAAATAATGAATAATTAGTAATAATAAAAATAATAATTAGTAAAACTACTAATTATTAGTAGTAATACTACTACTAATTAGTAATAATAATTTTAATTATTAAAACCCCATAGTATGAACAACATTTAGTAGAAAATACCTCTGTTTCCTTGGATCAAGAACATAATTCATTCTGTGGTCACAGTGTGGGACGCTAGTGGTAAGGTGAGTGACGGTGTGGGCCTGGGTGCCACAGAAGCCAGGGGTGACCCTCACCTGTGTCTGAGTGTCAGTGTGGCACTCCCTGGCACCCTCACCTCTCACCTCCACCACTACGAGGCTCAGCTGGCCTCGCACAACCTCACACTCCAGCAGCCACTGCAGCAGGAGGTCCTCCTTCAGCAGGACACCTTCTTCAGGGGCAAGTATTGCCTCGTCACCCTGAGGTAGGTCCAGAGGTCCTCAATAAAAACAAACATTATTTGACTTTATTGCGCTATCTCAGGTTAAATTTATAAAACCAATGTTAAAATAAGTCACTTCGAATTTTTGGGTTATTCTAGGTTCTTTACACAGTGCTGCTATGTATGATAATCTATACTCACCTATTTGTGGTTGCAGGGGTCGAGTCCTAGCTCCTGGCCCCGAGTCCTGTAGTTGTGTATACCTGAATAAACTTACTAAACAATGGAAATAAGTCACTTTGTATACTTTCTGGAATTATCTTAAGTAATTTACAGTATGTGTGATAATTGCACTTACGTTTATCTGTACCTCTAAATAAACTTACCAACTAAACACTGATATACTGTTAATATATTTAATTCAGTGTTCCCTCGCATGAACAGTAGTGTCAAAGAACGAACAATCTGATCAAGATTGTAGGGTAAACTAAAGTACTTTAATATATTTTATCTAACTTTTGTCAACGCCAGTAATCGGGAGTGAATTCTGATCCTTTAAAGGCAACTTTTATTATAAATGCAATTTAATTGATTAAGAATCACAAAGTGTGCATTTTAGAGTCACGACAAGACAACTCAGTATAGTTAGTTCCTTAGTAAGGTCATTTAGGTACAGGTACACATAAATACAATTATCATGCATAGTAACATGTGTAAATTATCTAGGATAACTCAAAAAAATCATCCTAGACCTTATACATCATAAACATAAGTTTACCCATTGGCTTTAAATCAATGATTAAACTAATGTTTCAATTTTCTTGGTGTGTGGAGTGCATGTCTCGCCCTCGCCTGGTCATAGGTAACAAGTTTCTCCGGGACGTTTGTCACCATTTTTGTTCTGCTGGCTGGGCACAGCTCCAGCCTTCCACTGTGGATGCTTGCTGGTGTTGGTGGGAAGCTGGTTAAGGAACTCAGGTGAGTGTGTAGGTGTCCCGCTCTGCTGAGGCTTAAGCAAGGAGTTCAACTGACCTAACTTGGAACCTCTTCGTTCCAGAAAAGAAATATTGCCCGACCATGGGCAATATTTCTTTCCTGGACATCGGGAAACAGGGCTTGATGCTGAGCAAGCTGTCAGTGGCCTTTAAAACAATCACCAAAAAACAACGACAATTCAGTGGTTTAACTAGGTAAATTTATTTAGGTGTAAGTACAGTTATCATACATAGTTAAACATATGTATAAATTACCTAGGATAACCCAAAACTATCTGGTAGTTGATAGGTTTGAAACCCTATTAACTAACCGAGTGCTACTATAGAAACTGAAAGGGGTAAAATTGTGCAGGTAATTTAGTGGATGTTTGTAAAGCTTAAAGGGATGTAGGATGTACATACTGCTTCGCTGGCAACTCTCTGGCAAGACACCTAAACTCAGTACCTGACCAGCCGGGCTATGGTTCGTACACTGGTTTGCGTGCGGCCAAGTTACATCCTGGTTGATCAAGCCCTGATCCACCACGAGGCCTGGTCATCAACTGGGCCACGGGGGTGTTGACACCTGGAACACCCTCCAGGTATACACTTGGCCGTCTCTTATACTCTTTTCTCCCAAATGACTCTTATTTTATTCTTAATTAAGTGATGGCGCCAAAGGGGGCGAGGGGTTGAAACCTACACAAGCCTCATCAGCTCACCCAAAGTCCCCCAAACAAAAATAATAACGAAGCTTCAAAATAAATTCCCTAACCCTCTCCCCTATAGAGAAATTTTGGACCAGCCCCTTCATAGAAAGGCTGCGGAATGTAAGGTAATGAGGCGTGATCTGAGGAAAGGGAAGTCAGCTTCAATTTTTCAGATCAGGAGCCTCTCACTAGTATGAAGGCAACTCTCTTGATACGCCTCGGCCACTACATAAAATGTTTCACCTGCTGCCTCCCTGGAGGTTCTCTTCAAGGAGGTACCTTGATGCTGGTGAGGGGCTCTTGATCAAAAAATTTGGACATCCTCCCTTGTATCGAACCTCAGTGCCTCCCATACCACTCGCTGTAGACCCACATGGGTTCATTGCTTATCACTTACTCGTAAATATAACAATACAACACAATTCTTTTCAGTTAACTTGTCTGTTATTTCAAACACTAATTAGGCTAAATTATTTACCCCAAAAATGATAAGACATAAATAAGATGGAGACAGAAACAAGAAACAAAAATGAATCTGCATATTTCAACCTCCAACTGGGGTCCTCTTCAGCAGGTATATATAATGTTGTTTGTGTTACAGGAAGGAAGATAGTGTAGGGCAGAGCGGTGGGTCGTGGCAGGCAGTGAGTACCATGGCAGGCAGGTACCAGCACACCTACGGTACTTGTGTACCTCACACCTGCACTACACACTTCCTGCAGGTAGGTCGCCTCTAACACATCCTCATAACGAAAACAATCTTATATTGAGAAAATGGTTATAATTATAACCACAATGTTTAAAGAGGTGGAGGGGAAAGTCAGTGTAAGGCCTCGGTCACATGACCAAAAGCTCGAACTGCGGGTCATCATATGACTAAGACCCGCGACAGGAAACACTTGTCTTGTTTCCTGACAAACCTTACCTAACCTATCATTGATACATCAGTTTTTAAGATTGTTGTAGAAGCACATAAGTTACATATCAAAGTTGCTGTTATATTCGTGTTTACGACTAAACCCTTATGAGGTCATACAACTCCTTGTGAATGGTAGGTTTGATCCGAGTAAGGGGATGTAGCTCCAAGTCCCTGGAGTAAGAGCATTTCAGCAGCAACAACGTTCTTTCCAGAGTTGGTAAAGACGTTTTGTTATTTATCACTTTAAGATTGGGAGATGTGCCTTAATGCTAGTGAAGGATTATTTCACGACCCTCACCTTCCTCGTATCAAACTTGCTTACCTCTCATTCCCCAGGCGTATGATTTCCAACGTATTAAGTACTTCCCCATTTATATAGTTAATAATACATAACTAGGTATCCTCAAAGGGATACCTTTATGGCTGACAAATATATTTTCTTACAAGCTGCATAAAGAATTCATTACAATTATGACCAGATACAAACATGTATACCTGGAGAGGGTTCCAGGGGGTCAACGCTCCCGCGGCCCGGTCTGTGACCAGGCCTCATGGATAGTGGATCAGGAGGCTGGGCTTATGGATAATAATAATAATAATAATAATAATAATATAGTAATATAAAAATAATAATAATAGTAGTAATATAATAATAATAATAATAATAATAATAATAATAATAATCTTTATGTCTACAAGTACATGTACATGGTATACAGGCCTAGCTGACATCAGTGACATACTGCTGTATAGAAAGCCCCTTGTTATGCAGAACATTTCAGGCAAATTAGGTCAGTTTTGTCCCAGGATGCGACCCACACCAATCTACTAACACCCAGGTACCTATTTTACTGATAGGTGAACATAGACTGGACAGTAGGTGCCTTAAAGAGACACGCCCTAAAGTTTCCATCTGTACCGGGGCTGGAACCCCGGACCTCAGTGTGTGAGATGAGTATGCTAGCAGTCGAGCTACGGGACAAACTTTATTTCTTTCTGTAGTATACAAAATGTAGTTTTACTTGTAATGAAGTATTGCTAAGCACAAAGAAAGCCACTAGCATACGAAGCATTTTGGGCAGGGACACGGGGATACCTTTCTTGGATCGCGCAGCGACTGAAGCAAATTTAGTTTAGGATTGGAGTGGCAGGTCTCTAGCGAGTGCTATAATGTGTGTGTCCTGGTGCAGGAGTGGCTGCAGCAGCAGCAGCAAGAGACCGGGACCTCTCTCACCGTCACCTGTCATGATGATTCCCATCACCACACCTGGACCAGGAGTGACCTCTCCTTCCTGTGAGTACTTCACATCTTCATAAAAATTCCATTTATCTTGTGTATGGGATAGACCATCCTGAGAGGCGGTAATACCCGAGTGATAGTAGCTACAGCTCTGCCTCAATGAAACCTTTCAAGCGTAGCTGATGAAACCCTTTTAATGAATAAGACTGAAATATCCCATTCACCTGACAATACTGAAGTCTTCCGCTCAAGTGACACATGAAGACTCCCAGTTTAGGCTGCAGATTTCATACAATAGTGTGACCCCTCGGTTTTGATGGAATATAAGAGTAAAAATGGCTTGTTTTGTCCCCCCTATGTAACCCTCATAGAAACAGTGTTCCTACTACGAACTATCATATAGAGTACGTAGAACACACTGCTAAGTTACCCCTATGTAACTATCTACAGCACGCAAAACAACTGGGTGTATCTAATGACCAATAAAGTTTTAAAAAATACCTCGGCCACGCCCTTTTTCATGTGTTTCCTTGTCGTTATCAGGTTTTAACAGGTTGTTTGGGAGCGCTGTAGCAGCAGTACTGTGCATGATGCTGCAGTCCCCCGCAACCCAAGTAAACTCAAATCATTTGTGGGTGCTCCACAGGTGGTAAATTTTTGTTTTTTAAAAATGCTTGGTCAGGCAGGCCACTATCTTGAAAATAGAAGTTTCCTCAAAAAAAAAAAAAAAAACCTTATGCGTTGATGATATTTATTTTGGGAAAGACCTAGTATACATTTTTTCAATTTTTTTCAAAACCAACTCTCTCTCTCTCTCTCTCTCTCTCTCTCTCTCTCTCTCTCTCTATATATATATTTATATATATATATATATATATATATAAAATATATATATATATATATATATATATATATATATATATATATATATTATCCACATGTACGTAGACCACTAATTACACACACACCTGTCATGGACAGGTGTTCGACTACTTCACTGTTTTTCTCTCAACCGCAACTGGAGCCGACTGACCGCTCACTCCACCACCCACCTGCAAATTCTCGACGGCCTCAGGTGAGCTTCCCACCACCTGGTACACCACCTGCCCTGCCCGTTGCAAGACGGAGGATCGAGCCTTCAATAGTCGTAGAGTAACACACATCTCATTTAAGTATCATTAACGTAAAAATTAACATTAAATTAACAAAGTCCGTTAAAATCTTCGAGATTTGATGCTATGTGAAGGACAGTGCATCCAAGGAATTGGACATGCCCTTCCCTTCCCTGGATCAAGCCTGAGTACCTCAAATTTTCCAGGCATTTTATGACCCCTGCGGGTTTTGTACTTCCCTGTGAATATATAATAGGTGTCCCGTAGCTCAACCGCTAGCGTACTCAGCTCACACACTGAGGTCAGGCGTTCGTCTCCGGTACGGCTGGAAAACATTAGGACGTATTTCCTTAAGACACCTTTTGTCCCTGTTCACCTATAAGTAAAATAGGTACCTGGGTGTTAGTGGACTGGTGTGGGTCGCATCCTGGGACAAAACTCACCTAATTTGCCCGAAATGCTCAGCATAACAAGCGGCTTTCTATATAGTAGTACGTCATTGATGTCAACTAGGTACATGTTACCTTGTACATGTACTTGTAGAAATAAAGATATTATTAGTATTAATAATGTATATTAGTATTAATAATAGTATAATAATGTATAATAATGTACATACAGAAAAGAGCCAGTGATTTAAAATAACTTGGTCCTCCGTGGCACTGGTATTTCCACTTGTTTTAACTAATGAATTTCTTATTTTTCTTGTTTATATTCTTGTGAATGTTTTTATGTTTGTGTATATGTTTGTCTATATGTTTGTGTATATGTTTGTCTATATGTTTGTGTATATGTTTGTCTATATGTTTGTGTATATGTTTGTCTATATGTTTGTGTATATGTTTGTCTATATGTTTGTGTATATGTTTGTCTATATGTTTGTGTATATGTTTGTCTATATGTTTGTGTATATGTTTGTCTATATGTTTGTGTATATGTTTGTCTATATGCTTGTGTATATCCATCGGATATAATTATGTATTCTGTATCATTGCTAGTGATCAGTCAAGGTTTCATTTAGCCTAGCTGCTAGGCTTCTCTTATGAGCTACACTAAGTTACAGTAATCAAGTATTACAGTATTTGTATTGTTGCTATATACTGTCGTTGTGTTATATACTGCCACTGTTATATACTGCCACTGTTATATACTGTCACTGTGTTATATACTGCCGTTGTGTTATATACTGCCGTTGTGTTATATTTTGCCATTGTTTTACATAAACCTTTTCATCAATGCTTCACTCGTAGACGAAATACGCATCACATGAAATACTGTTATGTTGTTGTAGGTTGTGAGTGTTGTGGTGTAGGAGGAGGAGGAGGAGGAAGGTGTTCTGGTGGTTATGGTTGATGGTGTTCCACAGGGTGATCAGTATGGTATGGATTATCATGGCTCACCGCTATATGCTGTTCCTTATCTCCGTCGCCAATCCTCGCATCATCACTCAGGTAAGATAACACTCGCTGCTGTACCCTCCCTCTCTGATCTTCACATCTCTCACATGTATGAACTTATAGATGTTGAGGCTGAACTTCTATATTATTATTATTATAATCAAAAAGAAGCGCTAAGCCACAAGGACTATACAGCTGAACTTCTATAGCAATTCGCTGCACTACACTCACAGCTTCTCCACGTCTTCATCTGTTTCATTTCAATCTTCTAATTTTCTCCCCTCAATCCTTCATTAGGTGATACTGCTGACCATAGGATATATTCACCTAGGAATGTATGTCTTTTAGTGTATATACGCTGATTACTTATTTTTAATCACAATTAAAGTAGTCATGGCTGGTGGTGAACAGGTTACATGCAGTCATAATGACCATCGCATAACCTAACGGCTTTAAACTCAGTTAACCAACCAGCAACTGATGCTTGACAAACACGTCTTGTTACTCCTTCTCACACCATAAATTCCTCCCTTGCCATTGTGTTGTCGGCAGCACCTGGGTGACTGGCGCTACTGGTGGGTGTTCAACGCTTACCCTGCAGTAGACACCTTCTTCTTCATCTCCGCCTTCCTCGTCTCCGCATTTCTCAAGACGCGACTCAAGGAGTTCTCCTTCACGACCTTTTACCTCCAGCGATACCTAAGGTGAGCTCCTCTACCACCTCCACTATTTCCTCCTATACTGCTGTGTCGTGTGGGGAAACTTCTTCGTGTCCGTGTATATACTTGAGAGACCATTGTGTGTGTGTGCGGTCATGTGTGTGGTAAGCTTTCGCAATACTTCATTGATCTCTACAATATATTCAGAACCGACACACGTGGCTGATGAACGTCAGGCTGAGTGTGTGTATTCCAGCTCAGTGAACAATCCTTCATGCAGGGCAAGGACTCTAGTGGAAATATGTCACTTGACTTTTTTGGGTTATCCTAGGTACCTTACACATCTGTTACTATGCAAAACATCTACTGTGAAAAAAATAGTGAACATTCAAGCGCTTTCGTGATTTCACGAAAGCGCTTGGATGTTCACTATTTATTTCACGGTGCGCTGTATAGCCCTTGTGGCTTAGCGCTTCTTTTTGATTATAATAATAATAATATTTCACGGTGGTTCTTTTGCATATTATGATATCACCTATTTACTGTGATCTTGTTGCATATGTTAGTATATGTGAGAATTTGTGTAACCGTATTTATGTGTACCTGTGCCTTAACAAACTTACTTATGCAGATGAAAGACTCTTGGTGTCAGAAATTGGAACTTCCGCTTTTTCTGGACGAATATGATACTTTCCCTTCCTCAGGCGCTAGCAGCCCAATGGGTTTTGCGTTTCCCGTAAATATAATAATAATAATAATAATAGACGACTATTCTGAGTGGTATTCTAGGTGAGAGGACCTAAGGCCGCCTGATTTTCCCTGGTTCTGGATTATTATCCTCCGTGGTTAATAATCTAGTGTTTTCTATCAGGCTGGTGCCAGCGATGATGTACGTGACGTGGGGGTGCAGCAGTGTGTTAAGGCACCTGGGCAGCGGTCCAGTGTGGCACTCGACCTACCACACCATGTTTGGACGACCCTGTGCCACCACTGGCTGGACCAACATGCTTCTCATCAACAACTTCAACCATTCTGATGACATGGTGAGCACACGACTGTAATAACATGGTGAGCACACGACTGTAATAACATGGTGAGCACACGACTGTAATAACATGGTGAGCACACGACTGTAATAACATGGTGAGCACACGACTGTAATAACATGGTGAGCACACGACTGTAATAACATTGTGATCACACGACTGTAATAACATGGCGAGCACACGACTATGTAAGATGAGAGGTCAAATCTTACAAACACCCACCGACATTCACTATACACTTGATTTTCCTCGGTGCTCCTCTTGTAATATTTCCTTCTCAGTTAATGAGACTTGGTAATTTTTATTATTAAACAGACTTAAATACAACCACAGTGTACTGCTGCCCTACTCTGTATGATAGCTGTGTAGTGGGAATAAAGCTAGGTGTGTGTCCTTGTTATATTCCATCACAGAAGATGGGTTATATATGTATGAAGTAACGAAATGTGTCAACCTGAGCTGGGAGACTTGGGTAGTGTCAGCCTTAACTGGGAGACTTGGGTAGTGTCAGCCTTAGCTGGGAGACTTGGGTAGTGTCAGCCTTAACTGGGAGACTTCAGTCGTGTCAACCTGAGCTGGGAGACTTGGGTAGTGTCAGCCTTAGCTGGGAGACTTCAGCCGTGTCAACCTGAGCTGGGAGACTTGGGTAGTGTCAGCCTTAACTGGGAGACTTCAGTCGTGTTAACCTGAGCTGGGAGACTTGGGTAGTGTCAGCCTTAACTGGGAGACTTCAGTCGTGTTAACCTGAGCTGGGAGACTTGGGTAGTGTCAGCCTTAGCTGGGAGACTTCAGTCGTGTCAACCTGAGCTGGGAGACCTGGGTAGTGTCAGCCTTAGCTGGGAGACTTCAGTGGTGTCAGCCTGAGCTGGGAGACTTAATTAAGCAGGTCAGTGAGGATACCGTCTAACATTCCGTTAAGGGTTAATCATCTATGGGAGCTACAACACTTTAGTTTCAACAGAACTGAAATTACCGTTACTCGGGAATTACCAGACAACTCTCAGGATGGATTATCTGACACAGGTAACTTACGAGAGTGAACGCAGGAACATGGGGGTGACTAACATGTACCTCCAAGTATAAAAACAGTTTCTCTGAGTCTTTGAGAAAATAAGTCATTGTGTTATACCACAACCACCAATATTTACATAATTTTTATATTTTAATAATAATATTTTATTATTATTGCTTTATTATTATTATTTATTATTATTATTAAGGGGAGTGTTAAACCCATAGGGTCAGGATATTTAGCACTATGACTCTGGGGGCAGTTGTAAACAGCAGTTATCCTGTGGGAGGTAATTAGGATGCATCCTAGGAAGAGAAGTTTCAATTCCTTGGATCAAATCTGATTACCTCCCATTCCCCCATATGACCCCATCCCAACGGTTTTACCGCTTCGCCTCATGATCCCCGGCAGTGTCTGGGTCACCTGTGGTCACTGGCGGTAGAGTGGCAGTTGTTCGTGGTGGCACCGCTGCTGTTGCTGCCTTACTACCGCTGGCACCAGTCCCAACTTGGCCGCCTGCTGCCCTTCTGCGCCTGCTTGAGCGTGACTCTCCTGCTGCCTGCTGCCCTCACCCTCCTCCATCACCTGCCTCCCACACCATCATTCTCCGAGCTTCCTGCTACCAGGTGACCTCTCAACACCTAGTCTCTCTCTCTCTCTCTCTCTCTCTCTCTCTCTCTCTCTCTCTCTCCTCTCTCTCTCTCCTTCTCTCTCTCTCTTTCCTCTATATATATATATATATATATATATATATATATATATATATATATATATATATATATATATATAATATATATGCAAGGAATTCGCAAAAGCAGGCGAAATACACACAAACACTGATCTCTGGCTGAAGGAGACTCGAACCTACGAATCTTGGAACAAGGTTGTTCCAAGATTCGTAGGTTCGAGTCTCCTTCAGCCAGAGATCAGTGTTTGTGTAATTTTCTCCTGCTCTTGCGAATTCCTTGCATTGTTAAAATCTCTAGTAAGGCTGATGCATGCAGGGGATGAGATGAAAAGCTGTAAGCCTTCTCCCTGAAAGCTGGCTGCCTTGGATCATTGTGTAGCTCAAGCTGCACGCCAAGGTATTGTCCAGTGTGGGTAGATTGGTATAGCACTGCGTACCTTATTCCAAGGTTCGTAGGTTCGAGTCTCCTTCAGCCAGAGATCAGTGTTTGTGTGTATTTCGCCTGCTTTTGCGAATTCCTTGCATATATATATATATATATATATATATATATATATATATATATATATATATATATATATATATATATATATATATTAATATATATAATATATAACCACAGTGAAAAAATGATGAAATTCTAAGCGCTTTCGTGATTTCTCATATTATCACGGAAAAAATAGCAAATATAATAGATTTAATAAGGGTAAGATTTCACCTGACCTGTAACCTGACAAATGTAATGCTAGTATGTGTGTTGCAGGATGTACTACAGTGTATACTACACGATGCCGTGGTGTCGTGCCGGATCGTACCTCGTGGGTCTGGCTGCTGGCTGCCTCTACCACACGATGATTGCTCACGACCTCACCCTCACGCCTGTGAGTCACTTCTGTGTGTGTGCTAACCTATTTGTAGTTGTAGAGGTCGATTCACAGCTCCTGGCCCCGCCTCTTCGCTGGTCGCTGCTAAGTCCACTCTCCCTGCTCCATGACCTTTAACATACCTCTTCTTAAAGCTATGTATGTATCCTGCCTCCACTACATCATTCTCCAGATTGTTCCACTTCCTGACAACTCTGTGACTGCAGAAATACTTCCTAACATCTCTGTATCTCATCTGAAACATTGTGTGTGTGTGTGTGTGTGTGTGTGTACGAAGGTCACACAGGGTTATCCTAGTTTATATAATGTACAATTTTGTGTGTTCAAAAGATCTGTGCTCCCACAACACTTGTGTGTTGACATTTGTGTGCACATAATATCAGTGTGCACATAATATCAGTGTGCACATAGCACTTGTGTTCCCTCAAGCCATTGTATAATTTTCCGTTATACATATAATACCTAAATAAAAACTCATGTACATATTTGTACACAGTATGGTGTAGTGATGTCCTGTAGCTCGATTGGTAGCGTACTTGGCTCACACACTGAGGTCCAGGGGTCGATCCCTGGTACGGCTGGAAAACATTACGACGTGTTTCCTTAAGACACCTGCTGTCCATGTTCACCTATCAGTAAAATAGGTACCTGGGTGTTAGTGGACTGGTGTGGGTCGCATCCTGGGACAAAACTGACCTAATTTGCCGAAATGCTCTGCATAAGAAGGGGCTTTCTATATAGTAGTATGTCACTGATGTCAACTATGGTCTGTATACCTTGTACATGTACTGTACTTGTAGAAATAAAGATTATTATTATTATTATTATTACATATGAGCTTAAGTCTGTATATGTCTCCGGCAGGCGTGCGTGCGGGCGTGTGGATGGGCATGTGTGGTGGTGGTGGTGGGTGTGTTGGTATCCCCGAGCTTCATCCCTGCCTCTGGAACTTACTGGGCTGCCCTCTACTCTTCCCTGGCCAGACCTGCTTGGGCAGGCGCCCTCACCTTCTTCGTCATCAGCACCGTCAGAGGTCGACCAGGTGAGTCTCCCAGCCTCTCCCATCACTCGTTATTACCCACGTCATGCGGCTGGGTCTATAAGCAATTTGTTTGGTGTTCTGGTAGCGGGGAGTAAATGATACGTCTTTGGAGGCTTCTTACTGTATTGTTAAGTCGTGGTGGGTACACAGGCTTGTGTGTTGTGCCCTTGGCCCGGGAGGGCCATCCCACGAGAGGAGCTAGGCGTAGGCCTTGTGTCTTCCTGCTAGGCCGCTGTGTGAGTGAGAGTGAGGCAAGGGAAGGCAGGCTGAAGTGGCAACGCCTATAGGTGGCAGCACTTGAGTGGCACGAAATATGAACTAAGCTGGCAGACAGCATGGGCTGTCTGTGCAGACAGTGCAGGCTGTCTACAGGTCTAGCCTCGGCTCTTTCCCCTCACTCTAACCATTCCTCTCCCTTACTTCTCTTCCACCATCCCACTCTTCCCTCTTACCCCTCATGGGTTTTACCTGGGAGTATCCTGTCCTATCCTGACCTATTTAAAATTATCTATCTGTCGGCACTGGAGCACAGCTATGCTGGTAACACTATGAGATACCCACACCGTGGTAAGTAAGTTTATTCAGGTATACACAAATACAGTTACATAGATTATCGTACATAGCAGCATGTGTATAGAGAACCTGGGATAACCCAAGAAAGTCAGAGTGACTTATTTCCATTGGGGTCCTTTTACCTGTATGTTTCATAACAATAAAAATGCTTTCAAATGAGCTGATGTAGGTAACAGCTTTTAGCTTGCCAATAAAGTTAGGAATCCTTAACCTGTAAATAGCTTGTCAATAAAACTAAGGATCCTTAACCTTGTCAAACCCTGTGTAAAAAAAATTATAATATCTTATTATTATTCTATAATGAAGATAACAGCTTATTATCATACTATTAAGTCTATCTACAACACGAGGGTCATTAAGTCTATCTACAACACGAGGGTCATTAAGTCTACAACACGAGGGTCATTAAGTCTATCTACAACACGAGGGTCATTAAGACTACAATACGAGGGTCATTACTAGGAATAAGATAAAATTTACACGTATGTTAGCTAAAAAATAGAAAATCATTCCCCTCCCTTTCTGTAGCTACATTCATCAGACACCTTTTGGCACTCTTCTTGAACTGGTTCATGCTATGACTGGCTTTGACATGTGCAGGCAGTCTGTTCCATTCCTTTATTGCTGTACAATAAAAGGTGTTTGAAGCCTGGCCACTGACTGTGGGTACTACAAAGTTGTGCTCTCTCCCCCTAGTACTACGATTGCTTTGGTTCCCAGAGCTCAGGAGACATGTTTCGCCCTCACAATGGGCTTTATTATGTAGCTTGATGAGGATTGTGTTTGCGAAATGTTGTCAATAGAGGCACCATGTAAGTGATTTTATTACCAGCCTCTGATATTATCTAGATATTTTATTTTATATATAAATCAATGTACAGTTTTGCACCGTCCAGCAGTGAGAGGATTCCCATCCTACTGCAGGGATTCCCATACCTGGAGTTTACCTGGAGAGGGTTTCGGGGGTCAACGCCCCCGCGGCCCGGTCTGAGACCAGGCCTCGTGATGGATCAGGGTCTGATCAGTCAGGCTGTTACTGCTGGTCGCACGCAAACTGACGTACGAACCATAGCCCGGTTGGTCAGGTACTGACTTTAGGTGCCTGTCCAGCGACTTCTTGAAGACAGCCAAGGGTTTACTAGTAATCCCCCTTATGTATGCTGGGAGGCAGTTGAACAGTCTTGAGCCCCGGAAACTTACTGTGTTGTCTCTCAGTGCACTCGTGGCGCCCCTGCTTTTCATTGGGGGAATGTTGCATCTCCTCCTAATGCAATTATTTTTGCATCACTCACACCGAATAATAATAATAATAATAATAATAATAATAGAATTAGTACAGATGTAAATATAAGCTCAATTGTATGTGTGACGTGAGTAGTGTTGGTGTTGGTCAGGTGTGTTAGCATGGTTGGCATCGAGACAGGTGTGGGCGCCTCTGGGTCGACTCTCATACAGCGTGTTCCTGGTGTCAGTGCCACTCCAGACCTTCAGTGCCACCGCCAACCCTCACAAGATGCACTATCACCACCTCACAGCCGTAAGTAAGGTTAATAGCTGTGTTATGCACCCCCATACCATGGTATGGGCGGTAGTCAAGAGATTATAGAAGTATATAATAGGTCCAGGGACTGGGCCACTAAAGTTTTGATAGCTAAGCAAGTGGTAATGAAATATTTGCCTGTTTATATCAAGTTACAGTCGTAATGATTTGTTTATGTAGACATGAATTCAATAACAAAAATATTACACGTAATTTTGAATTATTTGCCTGGCCTTCTGTTGGTATGTGTCCCTGGTCACCTAGCAGTGAGTAGGTACCTGGGTGTTAGGCGACTTTCTGGGTCGCATCTTAGGGAAGAAGATCTACTTCACTAGACCTCTTCAAGTGGGGCTCCTTGGCGTGGTGAAGAGGCTCTTGGTCTGAGGAATTAGACCTGTCGGTCTACTTCCTCAGACCGAACCTAATTACCCCCCAATCCCCCGTTCCCTATCCCATCCTCCCCTTTTTCCTTTCCTCCTCCTCCTCCTCCCCACCCCTCCCTTTTGCCCTTCCTTTTTGGCCTTTTTGGCATTTTTTTTTTTTCCACAGGCACGCTAGTTCCTAGGTAGGGGAAAGGGTACCGGGGTCCATCCCATTCCGTTGAGGTTCTTGGCGGTGGCGTAGTTTGCCGTGGAATCTGGATTGCCTGGGGATGTCCTGATCCCTCTCCGGTATCCCGGAGGGTGGCTTTGGGTGTCTCTCGGGCGACGGGTGTATCTCTGGAAGCCACCTTTCGGATTCCGGGGGTGGTGGCCGAAGGAGGTATGCTTTGTGGCAGATTTCCGGCCGCCCTCTCTTTTGTCCACCGAGGTAGCTCGGCAGATGTGAGGTTGCTATCCCGGATTGCCGGTTTACTGGCATGTAGGTAGGGTATGGAGGTTCCATCGATTTGGGATTTGCTTAGGTTTTGGGGCCGGGGGGAGTTTCGGGCCCCTTTTCTTTTTCCCTTTCCCCCCGGGGTCCCCCCTTTTTTACTTTTTTTTTTTTCTTTTTTTTTCTTTTTTTTTTTAAAAACCCTTTTTTTTTCCCTACCCAAAAAGAACCCCCCCCCGGGCCCTTTTATGCCCCCCGCTACCCCCCCGGGCCCCCCTTTTGGGAACCCCCCCCTGTCCCCCCCCCTCTTTTTCCCCCCTTGGACACCTCGTTTGACCCCTTCGTTTTTTTTGGCCCTTCGTTTTTTTCTTACTATTTTCCCGGCCTCCCCCTCTACAGGTGGTTTTTCGGCCCCCCTTCCAGTGGGCAATTGGTCCCAGCCAAAACCGAAAATTCCCCTGCTAGAACTTCTCCACCTTCTCCTTGGAAAAAAAAAGTCCCATCTTATTTTTCCACGCTCAGTTTCAGACTGCAAAATGGACTAAATTTCTTCACTTTCACCGACTTCCTCTATGCCTATCTTTCTGACACGTTTTGGAAGGCCTCCTATGCCATTTGGAAAAGTATTTTTTTTCTGCTCTTAAGAGCGGTACGCGCATCGTCACCATCAGAATGTACCCAGGCATGACTTTCCGTTTTTCCCCATATCGATATGTTCTGTAACTTTTTGAAAAAACATATTCCCTCAATTCTTGTAGTGGTACCATCTTTTCCCTGCCCCCATACCATGTTCAACAAAATTTCCGCAGGGCACTGAATTTTTAAAACGCTAACCCCCAATCCCCCAATCCTAGTCCTTTGCTTCCGGCCCGCGGGTGGCGCCCCCTAAAAAGGGCCTGAACTTTTCAGATGCCCCCCACTGTTATTTTCGGAATTGGTTCAACGAAAGGTGATCCTCAGGCCAGGGAAAATTGCGCTTTTTGGCCACCCCACGTTTGCGATACCCAACCCCGTCTTGGCCATCCTTTTTAATGTCTGACCCCCCTTTTTGCCTTAAGCCCTTTAAACCCATTCGTACCCCCCGGGCAAGCCCCCTTTTAAAAGGCGGAAAACCCTTACCCCAAAGGGAGACCCCCCCTTTTTCCATCTTTTCCCTCCCCAAAGGGGAAATCCTCTTTTTTTTCCCCCTTTTTAAAACCCCCCCCCCTTTTGGGTCCCCCATTTCTGCCCCCCTGGGGGTTTCCTCCCCAAGTCACCCCTGACTTTCTTTTGTGTCCTCCTCAAAAGCCCTACCAAGTCCGTTGACCTTTTTCTGTTCTCTCCCCAAAGTCAAAAAGGGGGGCCGGGGGGGGGGGGGGGGGGGGGGGTTTTAAAACACCCCCACCCATCTTCCACTCCTCATTTTCCCTTCCTGTCTCTGTCCCCTGGTTCTCCCCCCCCCATGGCCTGACAAGTGTAGAGGTTCACCCCCCCCTAGTACTGTACCTTCCTCCCCTTTCCCCCCCAGTTTTCTTCCCCTGCCACCCCCCAGGTTTCTGCCTCTTCGTCCCCCTTTCCCGCTTCTCCCTTCCCCACCCTTCCGGCCCCCCCTACCTTTGGGACAGTCCATTTCAGTTCCAATCTTTTAAATCATCCCCCCCCTACCATTTCCAAATTGTCTCCCAAAAATAGTCTCGAAAATTTTGAAACACTTTAAGCAATCTCGAATATATTGAGAGACCAAACCATCAAAGACAGATCCACCCCCGCCCTTTTCTCCCTCTACTCCTCTGCAACCCTTTCTTCAAGTGCACCGTTCCCTTTGCTGCTTAACGTTTTCCCCCGCCCCGCTGTGGACTTTTTTAACCCCTCTAGTCCGTAGGAAAACCCCACCCGCGGATTTCAGGTTCTTTTTCTTGCCAATCATGGCCTATTTACGTGGAAAAATCGCGGGCCCCAGGGGTAATCGGGGGGAGCTTTTAGATGTTTCTCTCCCCGTTTTCCCCTGTTTGGGGTTTGCTTACAGGGCCAAAAAACACCTCTGTTTTCTCTCCCATCTCAGGCATAAATTTTTGTATTCTTCAGACCTTTTCCTGATGGGCCTTTAATGAAAGTGCCCTTCTTCACGCCCCGGGAAATTCCTTCCCTCAGCTTTTTGTTCGACTTCGCTGCATTTTCACAGCAGCCCTTCCACTTGTATAGGGGGTAACGCTCTGTTCTTTATATCCTCTCCTTCTCGGGCTTATCATTCCGGATATTTTCCTTTTTGTTTGCATTACCCCCACCGATTCTGTTTTCTTGGGGATTTTAATGCCCCCCATTTCCTCTGGGGGGGTCTCCGTGTTCCCCTGGCCCTTCAGTTTGAGGGGTTTTCCCTTTCCCCCACCCCCTCCATTTTTAAAAACAGGGACTCACACCCATTTTTATCCTCGACTCCACTCTCTCTTGCATTGTTCTCAGTCGGGTTTTCCTCCCCCGCATTAGACTTTTACTTGGTCTGTTCTTCGGACTTACATGACACAATCATTTCCCCCTCATTCTTTTCCCCTTTTTTTCCCCCCTCTTCGCATCCCACGCTGGCAATTTTATCAGGCAATTGGGAAACCTTTACCACACCTAACTGTTTTAGGGGGGTTCCTTCTTCGTCCTCCTCGATGACTTTTTTCACCTCTTCTCGTCCCCCGTTTTAACCGCACTTCTCATTCTATACCCCCAAAATTTCGGGCAGGCTTTCAAATTGCTGCCTTTGGGGGTCTCCGCTTGTGCTCGTGCAGTACGTTTTAAACGCCTGCAGGGGCAGGTACCGGGGACAAAAACCAAGAGGACTTTTGAATTTAAGAAAGCGGCGATCACTGGCCCCTGTCTTTCCCGGCGCTAAACCCTTGCTGGGAGATTATGTCCCCCACCATCACCTCTGCTTTCCCTATGAGTGCGTCTGGAAAAAAGTACGAAAACTAGTGGTAAATATTCTCCTGACCCGCCCGTTCTGCGGGTTCCCGGGGTTGATAAGCAAACCCCCTAAAAGTTGCCAAGAATTGGCAAACATCTGGTCCTATTTTTCAGGGACTCCATCTTGCCCCTCATTTCTTTCCTCAAAGTCTGCCAGAGAGTTAGCCCCTTTGGGCTTTTCTTCTCTAGAGAAGAACATATAATGTCCCTTTTCACTTTAAAACTGGGGGCAACACTCTCAGCTTGCCGACATCGGCCTGGGGCCCGACGACATTCATATTCGTATGCTACAATTTACATCAACCCTTTTCAGCCTATTATGCCTTTCAATCTTGTTTGGTCACAAGGAGTTTTTCCACAGCTGTGGAAATCCGCCATTGTTCTCCCTTTCTGCAAACCAGGCACTACGGGACATGAAACCTCCCACTATCGTCCCATTGCTCTTACCAGTGCAGTTTGCAAAGTGATGGAACGCCTAGTAAATAGACGTTTAGTGTGGTATTTAGAGACACACAACAGTCTCTCCACTCGTCAATATGGCTTTTGTAAGGGACGTTCTACCATAGACCCCTTACTACGCTTGGATACGTATGTTTGTAATGCCTTTGCGAATAACCACTCAGTTATTGCCATATTTTTTGACCTTGAGAAGGCATATGACACAACTTGGAGGTATAATATTTTAGCCCAAGCCCACTCCTTAGGCCTTCGAGGCAATCTACCATCCTTCCTTAAGAACTTTTTAACTGACAGGCATTTCCGTGTTCGGGTTAATAATGTGCTCTCCCCGGACTTTATCCAAGCTGAAGGTGTCCCCCAGGGATGTGTTCTGAGCACAACACTTTTTCTCGTTGCTATTAATGATTCGGCCTCTAGTCTTCCATCAAATATTTGGTCATCACTTTATGTTGATGACTTCGCTGTGCAGGCGCTGACTGTCACCTTATTACAGTTTCTCTCCAGCATGCAGTCGACCATGTTTCCAATTGGGTCACCACACGTGGGTTTAAATTTTCCAGCACTAAAACCCACCAAATTACTTTCACTAGACGCTCTGTCATCTCCGATCATCCTTTGTACCTCTATGGCTCCCGTATCCCTGAACGTGATACAGTCAAGTTTCTGGGCCTCCTCTTTGACCGTAGGTTATCCTGGAAACCTCATATTACCTCTCTGAAGGCAACTTGCCACAGCCGGCTGAACCTCCTTAAAACCCTTGCTCATCTTTCATGGGGAGCTGATCGTCGAACCCTCCTTCGCCTACATTCCACCCTTATCTTATCGAAACTTGATTATGGTGACCAGATCTATTCAGCGGCATCTCCTGCTACTCTCTCTAGCCTTAACCCCATTCATCACCAAGAATTACGTTTATGCCTTGGTACTTTTCACTCTTCCCCTGTCGAGAGCCTCTATGCAGAAGCGAACGTTCCATCCTTATCCGATCGCCGTGATGCCCATTGCCTTCGCTACTATGTACGCTCTCATGATCTCCACAATCCTTCCATTTATAGAATGGTCACTGATATTAGTAGACATTCTTTATTTGTTCGCCGCCCCTGTTTACTCCATCCCTTCTCTCTTCACCTTCATTCGCTCTTGTCTTCTCTTCAATTACCACCTTTCTATGTACATGTAGCATCTCACTTTTCCCTACCCCCCTGGGAAGTTCCAGCTGTTTGAGTCTGTTCTTTCTCTCTCCCTTGCTCGAAAGCCCAACTGTCTACGGTCGCTTCCCGCTCTCATTTTCTTGACCACTTTCACTCTCATTCTCATGCCATTGCTGTGTACACAGATGGCTCTAAGTCTTCTGACGGCGTAGGATTCGCAGCAGTGTTTCCGGACAGCGTCGTACAAGGGCATTTACTATCTTCGGCTAGTATTTTTACTGCTGAATTGTATGCCATCCTTACAACACTTATCTGTATTGCATCTATGCCTGTGTCATCATTTGTGGTTGTTTCAGACTCCCTTAGTGCTTTACAGGCTATACAGAAATTTGATACACCTCACGCCTTAGTCCTCCGTATCCAACTTTGGCTAAGCCGCATCTTTACCAAGCATAAAGATATTGTTTTTTGTTGGGTCCCTGGTCATGTTGACGTACAGGGCAATGAACAGGCAGACACTGCTGCGCGGTCAGCAGTACATGACCTACCAGTTTCATGTAGAGGTATTCCATTTACGGACTATTGTGCTGCAATATCTTCCCAACTTCACACCCGTTGGCAACAACGTTGGTCTACTATGCTCGGCAACAAACTTCAATCTATTAAACCGAGTATAGGTTACTGGCCGTCTTCTTATCACCGGTGTCGAGGTTGGGAGACTACTCTCTCCCGTCTTCGCATTGGCCATACTCGTCTTACTCATGGATATCTCATGGAGAGGCGCCCTGCTCCTCTCTGTGAGAATTGCCAAGTTCCATTATCAGTCAGCCACATTCTGTTGGACTGCCCACTTTATCAACGAGCATGCAGAATTTACCTCCGTCGTCGTTTTCGCTCTGCTGCTCTCTTTTTACCTACCCTTCTCGCTGATGGACCAACCTTTCATCCAGACTCTCTCATTGACTTTTTGACAACAACTGACTTCACAAATTCTGATACCTTCAGCCCTTTCTACTTCAATCTCTTGCTACCCCCTACCCCCGTACTATCCCCTGCCCCGCTGTTTTCTGTAACTTACTGATCATCTCTTCTCCCTTCTGCCATCCAATACCCTCGCTTCCTTCCCTACCCTGCAGCGCTGTATAGCCCTTGTGGCTTAGCGCTTCTTTTTTTATTATAATAATAATAATACTCCACTAGAAATAAGCTACACTGAACGGCTTTCTTGGGTTATCCTGGGTTACTAACTCTTCGTGTTAATAATGCCAGTCAAACGTTTTACTGGCGAAGGTGTACCTGGTGCTGGGAGACGTGGTGTTGAGCTGCCTGGCAGGTCTGCTGCTGCTGCTGCTGGTGGAAGCACCCTCAGCGTCACTGCTCCAGCTCCTGGCCTCACACTCGACACTCCGTCACCAGACTAACGGTAATGTTTCACAAGTTTATATATTAGGTACCATGGTATAATTATACCATTATTGTATAGGGTGACTTAATTTTCAGTGTTATTCTCATTTTCGCTCTCTCTCTCTCTCTCTCTCTCTCTCTCTCTCTCTCTCTCTCTCTCTCTCTCTCTCTCTCTCTCTCTCTCTCTCTCTCTCTCTCACACACACACACACACACACACACACACACACACACACACACACACACAAAGTATAACTAGACTCATTTCTCAAATTTTATTTGTTCATTGGCATATTACTATTATGCATAAGTAACATTAATGGTGCTACACTTGTTTTTGGTGTGATTGTTAACATTGATGGTGTGCTTATAGGCAAGTTGAGGCGCTACTCTGTAGAGGAAATGATGAAGTCTAACTCAGTCTCCACCACACCTATCATGGAGGGAGAGGCCACATCAGCTTCCACTACGCCTATCATGGAGGGAGAGGAGAAGGCCACGTCACACTCCACTACGCCTATCATAGAGGAGGGAGAGGAGAAGGCCACGTCACACTCTACTACGCCTATCATGGAGGGAGAGGAGAAGGCCACGTCACACTCCACTACGCCTATCATAGAGGAGGGAGAGGAGAAGGCCACGTCACACTCTACTACGCCTATCATGGAGGGAGAGGAGAAGGCCACGTCACACTCCACTACGCCTATCATAGAGGAGGGAGAGGAGGAGAAGGCCACGTCACACTCCACTACGCCTATCATGGAGGGAGAGGAGGAGAAGGCCACGTCACACTCCACTACGCCTATCATGGAGGGAGAGGAGAAGGCCACGTCACACTCCACTACGCCTATCATAGAGGAGGGAGAGGAGGAGGCCACAGCAGCCTCCACCACGGCTATCTTGGAGAATGGAGGGAAGGCTATCAAGTCAGCCCCCACTACGCATATCACGGAGGTAAAGAAGACGTCCATCACACACATGCCACTGACCTACGGTTGTGTATCAAACTAAAGGGAGGAAGGTCACACAACGCCTGGGAAATGAGAGGCAGTCACATTTGATCTGAGGAAGGGGAAGAGCAACTCCAGTTCCGTGGATCAGCAGCAGCAAAAAAATAAAGTGAACGAGTGTGGCGGCATTTCGAGGAAGACCTGTAAACTTGAGCTTTTAAGTTTTATACACAAATCAATTTTACAGACTAAGAGCTGTTATCCTGTCTCAGCTCATTTCAAAGCCCAGCCTTATCTAAGGTATACTACCACCCCCCCAGGATGCGACCCACATCAGTCGACAAACACCCAGGTAGCTACTTCCTGCTGGGTGAGGGACAGCAGGTGTAAGGCTATGGAACCAGAACTCATTGTTTGACTGATTATTTGAAGTTGAAGCTACACAAATGTATTTTTTCTGCGTTCACAACGTCAGTATACCCTCAAAGCTCTCAAGGGAAGTTCCTTGACGCTGATGAGGGGCTCTTGATCTAGGGAATTGGATTGTGCTCCAGTTCCCTGAATTGAGCCTGAATACCTTCCATCCCCTCCCACATTCGCTGTATATTCCTAGGGATTTAGCTCTCCCCTGTGATTATAATTATATAATAATTATACCCTCAAGGCCATTATAGAAAAAATGTTGATATACCCTAAATCTAGTCTGTCAGAAGACTTGTTGACTCCTATCACCCTCAGTACCCATTCACTCGCCGTCCGCGGGTCTCCCTGACATCCTGTCAACACTTGTCACCATCATGGGGGCACCATCCTCTCATGTTGAGTCAGCTGGATCAACCCTCCATCACCGTCAGTTTCAATTAAACCAGTCTGTTAGAGTTGAAAGGCTATCAACCGTACGTAGCGTTACCATATGTCCGGTTGTACCCCAGCCATGTCTGTTTGCGTTTCTTAATCACAGTCAACCATTAGTGAGAAAGATGTTAGGTGAGATTCACCAAGAAACGGAATGGTTCCTGACGCGGGTCTTAGTCACATGATGATCCTACACCACAACTTTCGCTCATACAACGAGACCTTCAGTTGGCCTCCCCTTCCACCCCTTTAAATATTAAAGATTATACCATTTTTCCTGTACACTAACATCAAAGATACACAAGTAACCCGCACACAGGAGACTGAAACTTATGACGACGTTTCGGTCCGATTTGGACCATTAACTGGTCACACTAGTAGTGTGACTAGTTAATAGTGGAAGTAGGACCCAAACGTCATTACTTTTAGTCCTATATGAGGGTTATTTGTGTATTCCAGTCACCATCCTATGCCTTATATATATATATATATATATATATATATATATATATATATATATATATATATATATATATATATATATATATATATATATATATATATATATATATGCGCATCACCAGCATCACCATTACAATCCTCCTACATCAACAGTGTCACAGGATTTCCCAGTACTGATAACGGAACGGTGTAAACAGCTTGGCGATAAAGTGAGTAATGTAATGATGGGCTTATTGAGAGCGAAACCTGATAGTGTTTTTTTCAACTCATCCTTCATGTGTCTATTTCTAGTCAGATGAGAAACTTTAATAATCCTTTTGAGTGGTTAAAAACTAAGAAATTACTAGTCACTAATCACTTGTTCAAAAAAAATATAGTTAACCATAGAGTTGTCAGGACATGGAATAGTCTGGAGAGTGGTGTAGTGGAGGCAGGATCCATACATAACTTTAAGAAGAGGTACGATAAGGCTCAGGGAGCGGGGAGATAGTGGACTTAGTGGTGACCAGTGAAGAGGCGGGGCCAGGAGCTATGAATCGATCCCTGCAACCACAGGTGAGTGCACACAAACCAGGTAATCAGACTGAGGAAGGAAGGTTGGGAGATCACAGGAAACGATAAAAAAGTATGAAGAACCACACAAGATTTAAGGAAGTATTTTCAGTGGAGACAGAATGGATTACTGTAAACCAGAATGGTGTATTGTGTCCAGCGCCAACAAGTGCTGGACATAATACAACCGACGAGGAAGTAAAGAGGCTCCTAAGTGAACTAGATACGTCAAAGGCGGTGGGACAGGACAACATCTCTCCGTGGGTCCTGAGAGAGGGAGCAGAGGCACTGTGTGCCACTAACAACAATCTTCAACACATCTGTGTAAACAGGGCGACTACCTGAGGTGTGGAAGACAGCAAATGCAGTCCCGATCTTTAAGAATGGAGACATGCAGGTAGCATTAAACTACAGAACAGTGTAACTGACATGTATAGTATGCAAAGTCATGGAGAAGCTTATCAGGAAAAGGTTGGTGGAGCACCTATAAATGTTGAGAGGGTTTGTGAAGATATGATAATTGGAGATAAACACAAGTTGTTGGCAGATCTCCTTCAGCTTTGACTGAGGGACATCTGAACAAGTATCTACAAAAGATACCTGGGGATTTCTCATTACTTGTCGTGTACGCAGAGAATAATGACATTTAATAATGACATTTAGGTTGATCATCTGACTGAGTGTTAGAGGTAGAGGGTACAGAGTCAGGAGGATTGTCAGCGTCTCACATTAGTCTGGGTAGAAATATCCTCAACATCGCATACTAACTTCATATGATCTAAATGCGATTCCTTATAGACCAGTACTAATTTCTCCAACTTTATACTTATTGCCATTGATATGTTCAACTACTCGATAAGGACCAACAAACTTTTGATCGAGCTTAGGCATTGCGGCAAAGTGACAGAAGTAAGGCAGGAGAGAGAGGGGTGGGTAGACTGTATTTTCTTGGATTGTAAGAAGGCTTTCGACACAGTTCCGATCAAGAGATAATGCAAAAACTAGTGGAGCAGGCAGGAGTAACAGGAAAGGCATCGCAATGGATCAGAGAATACCTGAGAGGAACGAAACAACGAATGATGGTAAGTGACGAGGTGTCAGAGTGGGCACCTGTGACGAGCGGGGTCCCACAAGGGTCAGTCCTAGGGCCGATGCTCTTTTCTGGTATGTGTGAATGACATGATGGAAGCGATAGTTACAGAGGTGTCCCTGTTTGCAGACTACGTGAAGCTAATGTGGAGAATTCAAGTGGATGAGAATCAGGTAGAACCACAAAGGGATCTGGACAGGCTGCAAGCCCTCGTCCAACAACTGGCTCCTGGAGTTTAACCCAACCAAGTGCAAAATTGTGAAGATGGGGGAAGGTCAAAGAAGACCGCAGACAGAATACAGGCTAGGGGGCCAAAGACTGCAAACCTCACTCGAGGAAAAGAACCTTGGATGAGTATAATACGGAGCATATCTCTGAGGCACTCATCAGCCGAATAACTGCTGCAGCATATGGGTGCCTGGCAAACCTAAGAACAGCGTTTCGGCACCTGAGTAAAGAATCTTTCAAGATTCTGTACACTGTGTACATGAGGCCCATGTTGGAGTATGCAGTATGGAACCCACACTTGGTCAAGCACGTCAAGAAATTAGAGAAAGTGCAAAGGTTTGTAACAAAACTAGTTCCGGAGCTATGGGGTATGTCGGACGAGGAGAGGCTAAGGAAAATCGACCTGACGACACTCGAGAACGGGATAGATAAGGGGGACATTATAACGACATGAAATACTGAGAGGAATTGACAAGGTGGATAGGAACAGAATGTTTTAGAGATGGGACACAGCAACAAGGGGTCCCAACTGGAAGTTAAAGACTCAGATGAGTTAGTGTGGTGTTAGGAAGTTTTTATTCAACCATACCTGGAGTTTACCTGGAGAGAGTTCCGGGGGTCAACGCCCCCGCGGCCCGGTCTGTGACCAGGCCTCCTGGTGGATCAGAGCCTGATCAACCAGGCTGTTGCTGCTGGCTGCACGCAAACCAACGTACTAGCCACAGCCCGGCTGGTCAGGAACCGACTTTAGGTGCTTGTCCAGTGCCAGCTTGAAGACTGCCAGGGGTCTGTTGGTAATCCCCCTTATGTATGTTGGGAGGCAGTTGAACAATCTCGGGCCCCTGACACTTATTGTATGGTCTCTTAACGTGCTAGTGACACCCCTGCTTTTCATTGGGGGGATGTTGCATCGTCTGCCAAGTCTTTTGCTTTCGTAGTGAGTGATTTTCGTGTGCAAGTTCGGTACTAGTCCCTCTAGGATTTTCCAGGTGTATATAATCATGTATCTCTCCCGCCTGCGTTCCAGGGAATACAGTTTTAGGAACCTCAAGCGCTCCCAGTAATTGAGGTGTTTTATCTCCATTATGCGCGCCGTGAAGGTTCTCTGTACATTAGAGTTGTCAGGAAGTGGAACAATCTGGAGAGTAATGTAGTGGACGCAGAATACATACATAGCTTTAAGAAGAGATACGATGAAGCTCATGAAGCAAGGAGAGTGGATCTAGTAGTGATCAGCGAAGAGGCTGGGCCAAGAGCTGTGAATCTACCCCTGCAACCACAAATAGGTAAGTACACACACACACACACACAAATATATATATATATATATATATATATATATATATATTATATATATATATATATATATATATATAAAGTTTTTCTTCTCTTTTTTAGTAAATGTCTACAGGAGAATGGGTTACTAGCCCATTGCTCCCGGCATTTTAGTCGCCTCATACGACACGCATGGCTTACGGAGGAAAGATTCTTTTCCACTTCCCCATGGACAATAGAAGAAATAAAGAAGAACAAGAGCTATTTAGAAAAAGGAGAAAAACCTAGATATATGTATATATATATATGCATGTGCGTGTCTGTGAAGTGTGACCAAAGTGTAAGTAGGAGTAGCAAGATATCCCTGTTATCTAGCGTGTTTATGAGACAGAAAAAGAAACCAGCAATCCTATCATCATGCAAAACAGTTACAGGTTTCTGTTTCACAGTCATCTGGCAGGACGGTAGTACTTCCCTGGGTGGTTGCTGTCTACCAACCTACTACCTGGCAAGACAGTGATGGAGTGAATGATGGTGAAAGTTTTTTTTGGGCCACCCTGCCCATATATATATATATATATATATATATATATAATATATATATATATATATATATATATATATATATATATATAATGAAGAATATTGGAGGAAGTATAGAATAAAGCAGGTATGTGATAAGCGGAGAGAGAGAGAGAGAGAGAGAGAGAGAGAGAGAGAGAGAGAGAGAGAGAGCACTGGAACAGCAATGAAGGTTCATGGTTCTTAACCTTCCACCAGTAAATATAAGAAATATCAAGGGCAAGTAAACAGTGACTACTGTTGCAATACTCTTACTCTTCTTCCTTCATTGTGGGGGGGGGAAGGGTAGATATTTTAACACCAGTGAACTTTTATAAGAACCTCCCTTTTTTTCCCAGGTGCTGTAGGACTCTTATGGGTTTAGTATTTCCTCATTAATTTAATAACAATAATAATATTGATAATAATAACAATGATAAAACAATAATAATTATAATTTGTATTATGGTAGTTGTAGTTATACGTATTTTTATTTGCTAGCTTTCCTCGGCATCTCTGTGGGAAAAAGTGCGAAATTCTGTGAATAATGAAAGTATAATTACGTTTTAGACTTGTTTAACATAAAATAATAATATTCTTATAGTTAATAACACATGCAGTGTGTAATTACACTTGCATTTTTACAAGCGTATTATAAGGCCTCACATCGTGTATATATATATATTATATATATATATATATATATATATATATATATATATATATATATATATATATAATATATATATATATATATATATATATATATATATCTGTATAAGTTATTCTATATAATGCTATTTTTTGTAAATTCGAATGGAAATAGGGCGTCCAAAATAGCACTACACAGGACATCGTTACAAGAGAACTTACTGTTATAAATTACCTGTTAATAGCCATATAAAATATATTTATGAGGTGAACCTGGGCTAACTTGAGTATAACAGCTACCACACCTGTGTGAAGTAAGTTGTATTTTCAAACTTTCCTTGTTTAGATATACACGCATTAAAAAAAATCATACTGTACTATTCTACGAACACCAGAGAAGGTTGCAAGATGGTTTACTTCTTGTAAATTAGCGTAATTATGAGTTTTTTGAGGTTTAAATATGGGTTCGTACTGGGCTTGTCAGGGAGAAGGAATCACTGTGTTTATCCGTTTTTATAAATAGTATTTGTTTTGTTTAAGTAAATGCACTTCTTTGATCACTATAGAACTGATTGTAGTAAAATATATTTAGTCATACTGTAGAGGTAAGTTTTTTTAGAATTTAAAAATATGTTGTTGACGTTTTAATACATTAATATACTTTAGAAATATTCACCTTCGACTTTTCCTATTTTCTTACACATTAAAAATTATGCTGGTGATATTAAGAATAGCTGACGAAGTTTCATGTTATTTTTTCAATATTTGGGATTTTTAGGTAAAAATCTGAGGATTATCAGGTGATTACAAAAGTGAAAACCAGTTTCTGAGGCAGTAAGGAAGGAACTATCAGGGGGGGAGGTCGTGTGTTGTTGCTCTCTTTGTGGATACATAATTGCAGTGTAAGGTTATCGAAAATTGAATTACGGTAATATATCAAGGTCCACGGAGAATTGTGATGTACTCGAGGAGATGATTTTGTCCGGGTTACACCACCTGGATCCTGATGTGTGACTGGTTTAATTGGGTATGTACAACCATGGTTACTATGAACAAATTGAGAGTAAAAGAATGGAGAAAATGAGATATCCTATTGAATAATTTAATCCGGAACTATGTTATTCAGTTTATCAGCAGTGATTCATTTCCCTATATATATATTATTTATATTTTTTTCATTTATTAACTACAACATTATTCCTCACATTTGTGAGCTGGCGGCAAATCTATTTGATATTAATTATTATTTAATTACTTCTGACGGTTATTTACTGATCTAATAATTGTATATGAATATAATTTTGTTAGTCCCATTACGACAACTTCATTACATAATACTTATTCCCTACATAATTTTGGGGACATAAGTTTGCGAATTGTTCAGCATTATCTATACCTCTCTATCCCTCCATCCATTTTGTGGGAAGAAATGCATATGGACAGGTATAGACATTTCAAGAGCTTCGCCACGAGTGGCGAATTATTATTATAAAAAAGAAGTGCTAAACCACAAGGGCCATACAGCGCTGCACACGAGTGGCGAAACTTTTTAAATATTGTAATGTTTGCCGGTATCTCTCCACAACTTAAGGTCGTTATCATACCAATTCAACTATCTCAGTATGTATACCACATCAAGGGAGGTTCCTTGATATATTAAAGCAAAAGTCTGACTTGATTGGCAGCCACTATGGAATCCTCGCGTCATTAGTAACTGGAAGCCTAGCAGTTCAAGCTATTTAGCTTTATATCATTTGGGAGTGGACGTGTCAGCGGATGGGTCTATGAAAGATGAGGTGAATCATAGAATTGATGAGGGAAAAAGAGTGAGTGGTGCACTTAGGAGTCTGTGGAAACAAAGAACTTTGTCCTTGGAGGCAAAGAGGGGAATGTATGAGAGTATAGTTTTACCAACGCTCTTATATGGGTGTGAAGCGTGGGTGATGAATGTTGCAGCGAGGAGAAGGCTGGAGGCAGTGGAGATGTCATGTCTGAGGGCAATGTGTGGTGTGAATATAATGCAGAGAATTCGTAGTTTGGAAGTTAGGAGGAGGTGCGGGGTTACCAAAACTGTTGTCCAGAGGGCTGAGGAAGGGTTGTTGAGGTGGTTCGGACATGTAGAGAGAATGGAGCGAAACAGAATGACTTCAAGAGTGTATCAGTCTGTAGTGGAAGGAAGGCGGGGTAGGGGTCGGCCTAGGAAGGGTTGGAGGGAGGGGGTAAAGGAGGTTTTGTGTGCGAGGGGCTTGGACTTCCAGCAGGCATGCGTGAGCGTGTTTGATAGGAGTGAATGGAGACAAATGGTTTTTAATACTTGACGTGCTGTTGGAGTGTGAGCAAAGTAACATTTATGAAGGGATTCAGGGAAACCGGCAGGCCGGACTTGAGTCCTGGAGATGGGAAGTACAGTGCCTGCACTCTGAAGGAGGGGTGTTAATGTTGCAGTTTAAAAACTGTAGTGTAAAGCACCCTTCTGGCAAGACAGTGATGGAGTGAATGATGGTGAAAGTTTTTCTTTTTCGGGCCACCCTGCCTTGGTGGGAATCGGCCGGTGTGATAATAAAAAATAAATAATCATTAAAACTAAGTTAAGGAAGAGACTAATCGTGAAGGGATAGACTAATTACAGGACTAAAAGAGCGCGAAGGCACAGGAAAGGGTGGTAAAAGTGAGGGCCTCTGATATACCAGTGGCTGGCTCCCTTACTGTTCACTCGTGGAACATTATCAGTCACCACTACCACCTCGACAGTCGCACTACCTCTCCTACACAGTCGCCACTACTTTTTATCACTTCACTAATCTATCACAGAGGCCACCACCCTCATTTCAAATACAGTTGCCACTACCGCCCTCGTATACTGGTGCTTCTGGTAGTTACCGCTTGTCGGAAACTTGCGACCAAGTAAGTTACTTAACTATTTTAAGCTGAAACCGGCACTCCAGTAAACTCTGGCCTCTCTCTCAAGTTGGCAGTGCTAAAACGATCGGCTCACTACCAAAAAAAAAAAGCAGTGGGTGCTGTTCTCAGATAATTTAGGTATCCCTGAAAGGGAATGCCTGTAGGATAACAATAAGTTTATTTTAGCATGATACATGTTTGAACAAAGGAGTGTAACAATTTAGTGAACATGCCTTAGTTTAATATGCACCCCATACCCATCTTGTGGGCGGTAGTAAAAAGATTACAGAGGTACATAATTGGTCCAGGGACTGGACTCCAAAGTTTTGATAGCTGAGCAAATTACAGAGGTAATGAACTCACAATTTACAAAGGTAATGAACTCACAATTTACAAAGGTAATGAACTCCAGGTAGGTCTAGTCACAATCATGACAAGTTACAAAGGTATTTACAGATTACAGAGGTAAGTAATGGGTCCAGGGACTGGGCCCCCAAAGTTTTGATAGCTGAACTTGCCGAAAGCCCCTGTGGAAAATACTGTATATATTTTCCAGAAATTCAGTATTTATATGTAAATAGATGGCCATACTGAATTTAATAATTGTCATAGAAAACGGAAAGCCTGCGTCTGCGCAGACGGGACTCGCCATCTTGGTTTTGAATTTTGTACAAACGTTGGTGTAATGGGAAGAATTTTTCGTGCTCTAGAGGTTAAAATTGTGTTGACACCTCTCAAATAGGCGGCGAAATTGGTGGACATGCATTCCTGCATAACTTGAGATATCAGACGACTGGACAAGACAGCTCCAGGAACCTCAGATAAGCTCTCTAGATTTGTGTATAATTCTGGCCAGTGTTTTCATAAATTTAATTAGTGAGGTTTTTCGGAGTATGATACAACTTAATATCACTCACCAATTTGACTGGATATTAAGATATATTTTCCTTCTGTTATGTAATTGTGTGTGTGTGTAATATATATATATATATATATATATATATTATATATATATATATATATATATATATATATATATAACCATTTATTATTTTTAATATAGTCCACAAAATTTATATTACCAGTATTCCTGGTTATACATATTTCATTGGTAATTAATAGGTCCAGAGCAACTTGTGGATATGACAGTGGTAGGTATCGAAGGGGGACATTTTTTGCGACCTAGGTGTCCCAAATTCCTACTTGTCTATGTAACATTGATAAATAATAATCATCTTTATCATTTACTGTTATGTACATAATTAGTTACATTCAGATAAATGCAATTTTCCACAGCCCCTTTATATGCAGAGCATTTTGGGCAAGCTTATGACTAACTTAAGATTAATAAGGCAATAACAGTGCTGTAATTTTACATATGGTCATTAGGTGAATTAGTGAATACAATATTGAATGCTCAACTAGTTCACGCTGTATGACTAGTAGTTCGGGAGAGAATAATTACAGTTTTCATGTAGTATATAAAAAATACAGTATTACAATATAGCACAATTTAAAACAGTGAAGTTGAAATAACTTAAGTTTGAAGTAGTGAGCAAATAGTTGAGCAATCATCAAGCACAGTATACAGTAATGAAATTGAAACAATTTTAGGTTTGAAGTTGAGCAGCCATAAATTATTTAGGAGTTTTTGAGTAACTGGTAGGTGTTAAGTAAAGTGTTTGATTAATTTTGGGTGATGAGGTGATTTCTAAGTAGGGCCTTAAATTGATTTGCAGGAAGGGGCCTGTTTTCGTTCTTAAAGTCTTACTGGTTTCCGTGCGATAACTTGAGAATGCCTTGATGATCGGCTTCAGACTTGCCAAGCTGGGGTGTGAGAGGAATTTCCGATAACTTTTTTTTTTCATTAATTATAGGAAAATTTTCGTTTCCTAGAGGGATTAGTTACCAACCTAGCACACGAAAATCACTCCCCATGAAAGCAAAAGACTCGGTAGGAGATGCAACATTCCGCCAGTGAAAAGCAGGGGCGCCACGAGTACACTGAGAGACAACACAAAAGTGTCAGGGGCCAAAGACTGTTCAGCTGCCTTCAAGCATGCATAAAGGGGATTACCAGTAAACCCCTTGCTGTCTTCACGAAGGCACTGGACAGGCACCTCAAGTCAGTACTTGAGCAGCCGGGCTGTGGTTCGTACGTCAGTTGGCATGTGGCCAGTAGGAACAGCCTGATTGATCAGACCCTGATCCACCACGAGGCCTGGTCTCAGATCGGGCCGCGGGGACGTTGACCCCCTGATACCCTCTCCAGGTATAGGCTTCCATTTATATATATATATATATAATATTATATATATATATATATATATATATATATATTATATATTTTGTTTATGTATAATGTTGCATTAAATTACAATACATTAAACGCTGATGCTGTGGAAAATTGCATTTATCTGAATGTAACTAATTATGTACATAACAGTAAATGATAACAAAGATAATCATTATTAATCAGAGTTACATCGACAAGTGGGAATTTGGGACACCTAGGTCACAAAAATGTCCCCCTTCGATACCTACCACTGTCATATCCACAAGTTGCTCTGGACCTATTAATTATAAATGAAATATACATACACCAGGAATACTGGTAAATATATAAATTTGTGGACTGTATATTAAAAATAATAAATGGTTATATATATACACAATTACATAACAGATTGAAAATATATCTTAATATCACTCACCAATTTGACTGGAGATTAATGTGTATCATACTCAGAAAACCTCACTCTAACTAAATCTATGAAAATAATGCTGGCCAGAATTATACACAAATCTAGAGAGCTTATCTGAGGTTCCTGGAGCTGTCTTGTCCAGTCGCCTGATATCTCAAGTTATGCAGGAATGCATATCCACCAATTTCGCCTCCTATTTGAGAGGTGTCAGCACAATTTTAACCTCTAGAGCACGAAAAATTCTTCCCCATTCACCAACGTTTCTAATACAAATTCAAAAACCAAGATGGCGAGTGTCTACTTTTTTTTCGATAACATACTTTTTTTAAAAATACAATATAGGGCATCTATTTACCTATAAATTACCGTATTTCCGGAAAATATATACAGCATTTTCCACAGATGCATCTAACCTATGAAGAAATCAGTACAGTTTTAGGCTGTGTAGGTTTTGATTTGTCTGTTTACTAATATAATTAAAATTGGAAATTATTAATTTGCGTGCGATAGTGATAATTTCTGTGATCATTTACAGGAAGGTTCGCATTATTGTTGGACTGTATAAGTCAAGTATTTACCAATTTCAATAAAATGAAAGAAATGTAATATTGTCTTGTAATAACTGGAGAATGCCTATACCGATTGACTTTAAATTACCAACAATGGCGTGTTATTAAAAAGTTCACATTTATTTTGTGCTGTGTAGATTTTTTTCTTAATTTTATTTAGTAAGGTGAGGAATTTGTTCGTGTGTATAAATTACTTGAGAATGACTCCATATCGACCTCAAACTTTTCAACATTGGTGTGCCGTACTTTGAGGAAGAATGAGAAGTTAGCTTTTTAGGCTTCAATTTGTCAGTTACAGAATAAAAATCGGATATCGTACCTTACTAGGGCATTAAGAAAGTGTATTATGGTGGACAAATTAAACGTATCTATATATTTCCTCGTATCTACACCGCATCATTTTTTTTTTACGTAATTCTCTGTAGCCATTTGGGAGATAAACTCCTAATGACTTTTGGAAGAAATAGAACCTTCCCTGCTCTTCCTTTCCTTGGATCGAATCTAATTCCTTCAGATTCCCCTAGCCGCTATATGACCCCTACGGATTTAGCGTTCATCTAGATTTAATAACAGTAATAACTAAATTATAATAGATAGGTTCTATCCAAAACTTAAAGCAAATTAAAAAAAAACTTAATTTAAAAAATTTAAGTACATTAGTCGGGAAAAATTGCGGAAATTGCCCGCCAGCCAAGCTAAAAAAAATGAATACTGCTTATCATGCGATAATTCCTGAGTGTCGCATCTGATTTTCAACCCACGTTCGCTGTTAACTTGATAACGCAACCTCTTAGCGACCCCAGACTTAATGTATTTAAAGATCTAGGTCTCGTTGAAAGCTTTGAATCATATTCGGGCTGTGGGAGGGGCTGGTTCACCATTTTTATTAAAGAAATTTGGATATTGCTCTCTATATTCAAAGTTTATTCTCTATAAAGATTACAATGTTGAATTTACAGAATTTGGTTGTTGTGTGGTTTACATGTAGTTAAATAATGATTACAGAGTGTACCACTAGAACGCCTAGCATGGCTAGGCATTTCGGGCAGACTTAGTTTAATTCTTTATTTTAAAATATTACAAATTATGAGGTATGGCTAAGTGACTAAATACTAGTTTGTGAGTTTAGCAATGTGAATGCTTTTGTTTTGGCACAGTACATAGTTTCAGTATTGGAGTATCATAGGATTCATTATTTTAAGATTGAGATTGATATTTCTGTTTATGGTCAAATGGGTGAGTGAGTGTAAGTGTGAACCACCAGGTGGTATTCGTGTAGTTAGTTGATGGGGTTTATCAGGGAGATAAGATGTTTTCTAATGGTAGTTTTGAAGGTTATGAATGTGTCTGCAGTTCTAGAGTTCTCAGGTAGGGTGTTCCAGATTTTAGGGCCTTTGACATACATTGAATTTTTGTAAAGGTTTAGTCGGACATGGGGAATGTCGTAGAGATGTTTGTCTGGTGTTATGCCTGTGGGTTCTGTCACAACTATCAAGAAAGCGTTTTAGGTCAAGGTTGATATTGGAGTTTAAGGTCCTGTAGATGTAGATTGCACAGTAGTAAGTGTGGATGTACTGAACAGGGAGTAAGTTTAGATCTGTGAAGAGTTTACCTGGAGTTTACCTGGAGAGAGTTCCGGGGGTCAACGCCCCCGCGGCCCGGTCTGAGACCAGGCCTCCTGGTGGATCAGAGCCTGATCAACCAGGCTGTTGCTGCTGGCTGCACGCAA